ATGACTTGCATTCTTTCTATACCTTTTATGGTGTAAACCCACATATATTCATGTACTACCTTGTGTTCTATATTCATGACAGTGAGAATATAGAATAGTAGTTCACCTCCCAATTACACGACAGACCAGTCAAATGGATTAAATCATTAAATGGAATACAACTTTCGTGATAGCGACTGTTGGATCAAATCCGGGAGATTTACAATCATAGGTAGATTGCGAAAAATTTGGATTTGCGGTTTTCATAGTTGAAGTTTTCATACTGTATATACAGTGCAATGAATTTGGTGGACATGCCCCAGAAATCTCTATCATGCCATAAATGTATTTGGGGGGGGGGGTTATTGTTTTGACTATTTCAATAAATTGACATTTAATACATAAGTATACTACTCTACTTAAGTAAAATAGACAACCCCACAAAAAACTTTCCACTATAATCCTGATTTTCCGAGACAATACCGCCATATATATTGAACTATATATTTAATATTTTCCTAAGGTGGAAGAGCGTGGTGATGCCACGTTATGTTGCTGTGGTCCATCGAGTGAAAATCAAGTTGAATGTGGTGGAAGTGCAGGAATATGTAAACATTTTTATGATTCCGCTCCAAGTGGACGTTACGGCACTATGACGTATTTTTCACAAGCAGTAGCTGCTCGCCTATGTTTATTATCTCATGCCAAGGAATGTATTGTAAGTTGATGGATCAAGATGACCAAGGATGAATATAGTTAGAAAAAGTGAATGTAAATAGTGTAGTTATATTTCAATGATATTAAGAGTATTAAATTATTGATAGATCTTGTCTTCTAGCCAAATGGGTTCAATTCCTTGCCCAGTTAAGGTGATTGAATAGTCTGCAAGATGTCAACGCAAATTCGGGAAATGTTTATATTGGAAAACGGTGACGTCTTAAACATTTTTCCATCAGGCTTTTCTGTTATGAATACATTGCGATAGGTTGTAGTAGAGTATATTAGGATATACCAATCAAAATTGAAAATTTACAGTAGCTGGTTACCTATTTGGACAAAAGTGAAATCACTAACGTAGGAAGCAATTTTGCATGGGGGGGGGGCTGATTAGTTAGGAGAGATTATTAGGTCATTATTTCCCTGTCAAACTTTACAGATTATCGCTAGTTTACAAATTATTGGCGGGACTTCAGTCCCCCCCGAGTATATAACTTTTATATAACTTATAGTACTGAATCCAATATATTTGTGCAAATGACGTATTTCGAGTTACTATTTCGTGTATACAGACCTTACGGCATCACTTCCGGTGAAATGGCGGACTGTGATTGGCTAAGAAGCACTTTCATAGTGCGAAAAATGTCGCGCGAAAACGGTTGTACGCATGCGCAACATGATTTTGGAGTGTTTCTCTGCGAAATATTTCACTTCACCAACACCGCGGAAAAACGTCTGCGCATGCGTCAACCTTACCTGTAATAGTATTGCGAACTTGATGAGAAGCTGTTCCGAACGTTTCCGAAGGCTCAAAATGGCGGTAAAAAGGAGTGACTTCATTGTGCGTCTTTACAGCCAGATTTCGAGCGCAGAAATAAACATGACATTCTAAAGACTAGGAATAAATACAGCCAGAAGGTTCAAGAAATTGTATTGTACAAGAATATGAACTAAAGGTGATTGTTGACAAATTTATTGTCTCAAACATTTTGTTTATCAACTAAGCAACGACAATTTCCGAATTTTCGTTTGAGATACATTTCTTTAAAAAAAACTGTGTCGCCAAATATAAAAAAATTTCGTGTTCACAATAATTAAACTTTAGGATTTATTCTACAATTTGAGTGGGTTAAGAAGCTTAACTTTGCGAGAGTTTTCTTAACTTTTGAGTTTGAATTTTTGTTTTGAATAATTTTGCAAAAATTTTCGAAGTCGTGTCCGTTAAAATCAACAATTTTTTACATGAATTATATTTCATTCCATACTTTAAATGCCAGGACGCTTTCAATTAATGTCTAGTCTACCCATTTGCTATATTTTCTCGTTTGTTTTACTAATTTTTGACCCAGGGGCGGCGCTAACCCTCTTCGAGTGGGGGTGTGTGAGTGATCTTTTGCCGACTGTTGTTTGGTAATTTTGCCGAGTCATTAGCCTATAGTGTGGGTCCTGAAGGGGGGGGGGGTCCCAATCCCATTTTCCACCTGAAATTTTGGCAAAATCCCAGTCCCAGTTGGATTTTTATTAGAAATCCCAGTCCGAGTTATTGAAATCCCAGTCAATAAAAACCCCTTTATTTATCGGTAGAATAAACAGTTTTAAGACCTTTTAAATTAAGCCACCGTGTGTGCAAGTGGCGGACATTTTATGAAATATTGGGGGGAAGGCACGTGCCAAAGGCACGGAAAATTTTTATATTTGAATCCCGGAAATGGCATTTGCATCATTCTGAGACACGCATAATCAGAAAACCCAAAATTCCTGTCGGCATCCATTTTGCAGCCCTTGAAAAGTCAAAATTTCGGCATTTCTTAAAATCTGTTCCACGTCTTGGAGCACTATTAATCACGCATTTACGAATCATTGAAATCGGAATATACCTGGAACGTTACCTCCAGCCAGAAAATTCGAAAGTTGGAGCCAAATTTTAACTCCAGACGTGCGAAATTTGGTCTTCAAACATCTAACGTACTGTATATACACAATACCCGTCAGTTTTTAAACCTTACACCGTAGTGTGTTCAGTTAATCGAACTACGAATCGAATTCTATAATCGCTGACATTTTAAAACCTATCAGCATGAAACATTCTTACTTTGGTTGAAGTAAGGTGGGCAAAAATTTGCATTTAGGGACCGGTCATTATTTATGGAAGGGGGGGGGGAGGGAAAAAATGAGGGTGGGCCATATGTATAAATAAATGACTAGAAGGGGGGGCTATTACATTTTTCAAGAAAATGTGGAGGGGGGGGGGGTTGCAATTAAATTTGAAGGAATTTGCTTAATAAGCATGGTATCCATTTGGTTGTAATTGCGACTAAATCATGGTCACTGGTGTGAAATAGTTTGGATTTATCTTGTCTTCTGTGTGCTGTATGCAAATAAGTCTTTACTTATTGCAGAGATAAATTGACAATGTATTATTACATCAGCTATCTTGATGTGGTTAAATACATTTAAGCAAGGTTAACGGCGAATGTACTATGCAGGCCACATCCACTGATGGAGTCTGTGACGTCATATCGATTAAAGGGGGTTGTTTCGCGCCTTGTGATCAGTGCTTCGGTCTGGGTATTCATACTGCCATTGTATGCTTTGCCTAGCTGCAGCAAGTTTAGCACTTAGATACCTTTCTCCTACCCACCCCACCCACCCATGTTTATTCTAGAGGATTTTATCTGGTAGTAGGTCATTTTATTTTATATAATTTTTAATCTCGCATAAAATAGGATGTATAGACCACTATACACTATATTTTGTTTCCACTGACTTGTCAGTGTGACTGGTGCCGGAGGTATGCCTTGGCAGAATGTCCAGAATTGTCATGGCTATCTCCTTTTGCTGCTAATATTACTGATTGTTACTCTCATTGCTATGCAGCTGCTATGGCAATACTTTGTGCCATCAAATCTAGTTACAGCCTTGGACCACAAACGGCACCTGCCTCCAAACACTAATATTAATTCTCTGCCGTTAAACATGGTTACAATCGCGCAGATCAAATGGAAACCTGATTTTAGAGTTATATATGAAAATACCCCTCTTTTATTTATAATTTTCTGCTAATATATATTTTTGGTCGACGTTAATATCTTGTCTGCTCCATATTCTTATTTAATTAATAATTAACATTATAACGCCTGGGTATCCCCATTTGTCGAGTAAAAATGAAAATGGGGGGGGGGTCAAAGAAAAATATTCTCATATGTAGAGGGGGGGTCATCATTAAATTTCTGCTCTTTTAAGGGTGGGCTTTCAATTTTAAAAATTTAGGGAAAAAAAATTCCCCTCCCCCCCTTCCATAAATAATGACCGGTCCCTAATAATAATAAAAATAATAATAATAATATTGTTTATTTGGCTAAATGCAAAAATTTGCATTTAGCCCGGCATTGCCGATTACCGACCTCGTTTTCGAGGACTGATTTTGCCACGTCTTGCTGACGTAATAAGTGATACCGACAAAGGAAAAAGGTCGCTTCGTGCGAGAAAATTCGCTAGTGGAAAACCGACTTTATTGCCTCTTTTATAGAACAGTATAATAAGCAACAACAACAACAACAACAACAACAACAACAACAACCACCACCACCACCAAACAAATTTAATTACCTAATTATGATTTCAATAATATTATGTTTTTGGACTAGCTGCCAGAAGTGAAGATACTGTATTCGAAAAAATTTGCATTGCTGCATGTGTGGTTTCTTTGATGCATGCTATTCGTGATATTCGGTTTGAATTCAATTATTCAGGAGGTCAATTTTGTTTTTTTCAGTGGTTATCTTTAGCCAATCCAGTTTTGCCGACTGAGATAACAATTTGCCGATT